AGACGATTCTCATTCATATAAGCATGAGATAAAGTGAACGAGTTCGAAAGGATCATGGTCTGTGCAAAAATAGTCTATTTATACATACTTTGCTACGAAAGCTCTATTTAATTAAAAAATGTTAATATAATATATATAGATAGTAGGTATATATACATTCATACCTGAACGACGATGGCGCTAAATATTATATATAAATATATATATATACACACGACAAAAATGAATTTCTAACTAGTTTGTAAGGTACGTGAATAATTCTGGTCATGTAACGTTGTAAATACGAAACACAAACCAAGATAGATTATGCTAGATGTGCGAATTCGATTTAAAGTCCCATACGAATGGGCCCCGATATCTCCTGTGATAATTTTATTTAAAATCTTTTGTTCTTACTTTCTTTATTCTTCGAATGTATCATATTTCGCAATTGACAACAAAATCCTTATATATTCTTTTTATCATCGAAAAAAAGTCTTTTTATGATATCAATAAATTATTAAGTTTGCTTATTAATTTTGGAATAAATATTTAAAAATATTAAGAAAGTAAATATGAAGTTATAATTATTTCGATTAATTTTATTCTCAATTTAAAAAATTTTAAATTAGAAGTTTTGGTTATGTTTCAGATAAGACTTTAAAAAAATTAACGGTTTTATATTTTCTCATAAAAAAATATTAAAAAAATAAAAATGTTACTGAATAGTTACGATCACAGGAGATAATACGGTATCCACAAGACTATATATAATAATGTACATGATCGGTGACATGGTGTCTCCGTTGCGATGAAGAACAGAGGGGCATGTCAACGTTACACATACGATAATACAGTCGCATTTACAGGTTTTTTACGTTTGTACCGTATTTATATATACGCTGTACACAGCGCTGCACTTCAAACTCTATTCAAATAATGATAATTAACTGTGTCATCAAATAAATTGCATTCAAATCTGTCTTGTTGATCTTTCTCATTTTAAACCTTACGTTTATTTACTAGTTAAGAAAAAATTATCATTCTTCAAGGGATTATTTCTAGTGAAGAAATTATATTTTCTATGCAAAAACATTTCATCAAAATATCAAAACTAAAATTATATAATTAAAAAGAATTGAAAATTTATTTTCTAATTACCAAATAAAATTTTTTTAAATTTAAATTAAGATTTTTTCATATTTTTTTTCTTACATTTTTCTTATATCTTTTCTTACAAAAAAAGTTTATTTTAATTTTCCTGCATAAAATCTCTCTTCAATATTATTTTTGAATTAATTTTATCAACTTTTAATTAAACAATTAATCTTCATTTTTTATCTATTTTTTATAAGGAACATTTACATTTTTATATCTATTTATTCTGACTCGTCCTATAAGAATTGTTCTTACATTACCGATGATCCAAAATCACATTAGAAATGTACTTCTTTTTCTTCAGACAATTTTCTATTACGGCATAAACGGTAAGCAGTCTTCTATCCATGGCATTTAAGTGTGCCTCTGTAATGAGTGGAGAAACATCCGACATTACAGCTTCGTGTGCAAGAAGTCTACCTAATGCGATGCTTAGAGATCCACCACTAAATAGTCGCAACCTATCCCACGTAGTTTTGTGAATCCTAGAATAAAATACATCTTTTTCAGTTTTGTTCTTTTCTTTAATTGTTGTCTGTTTTTACGCAGTTTCGCCATAACGAACAAAGAAGCTATTTAACAAACAGATTCAGAGATTTCAAATTTTACAAGGAAGAATATGTTAAAGACTTCTCGTGTCTTTTAATTCCATAATTTTTGCAGTAAATAACAAATTATACTCACATGCAACATTGGTATAGAGGCGCTAAGATGTCGAGGTGATCAACATCAGGATTGCCTAGACTCTTTCCATTATCGATCAATAGCACCGCAGGATTATGAAAATTGTTTTGTGCGAGTTCATAATGATGCCGATCACCATTATCCATAAGGAAATCAAATATCGCTGTATCAATCAAATCCAAGAGTCTACTCGACGATTGCGGTGAATAAGCCTTGGAATCTTTTACCTAAAAGAAAAAATCAATTTTATATTTTCCACATTAAACATTATTTATAATCGTATTTTTCATAAATTTTCATATATTTTTATTATATTTAAATATTTCATATATATATATATGTATATTTTTTACAATCTTAACAATGTACTTTATCACAATAGCCCTCATCTATTTCCCACGCAGCAAGTTTGTTTCTTTTATAAGTTCGTTGCCAAGGATGACGATGCTTGACCAGTCTTAAATATCGTGGAAGCCAAAAGATGAGAGTACCCTCCAATACATCTCCCGTTCCACAGACAGGATCGGCTGGAGAACAATAATGACAAACGCCGTATAGGCATGTATTGTTACCCTCTTGATACATGGTTGCGTATAATGCCGGTGTCGCGTGATTACCAATCTCTTCTTTTAGGTCAACTACAAAAGTATTGTACATTCTTACAATTCTTACTTCATCAATTTATAACCAAAAGTTTTAATTAATATTTATTAGAGAAAGGTAATTATAATTAAGATTTTTTTATTGTAAATTTTAAAAAATTTAATTGAGTTTCTATTAAGGATAATCAGAAATTTAATTTATCCACGATCTTTTTCAATCTTCTTCATTTTAACTTTAACATACGTTTTCGAATAACGGCGAGTGGTACTCTTCGCAATGCCAACAAGGACGATAAATGAAAAGCCACCACTTCAGCATTATGGCGATCCTTGCCATGGTATACTGGTCCATGTATAATAGTATCTCTGGAGTACCATTGTGGCTTGAATAATGCTTTTACATCATTCTCAAGATTAAGCATAAGCTTTAGTTGTGTACCCAATGGAGCATTATCTGCACGGACTATTTTAGATCCCCGCAAAACTTCCAAAATAGTCCCTAGTTCCGGTGCTGCCGGTGGTATCAACTGATGTGCATCTGGCCACTAGATATATATAATAAAAAATAAGTTTATATATAAACACACATGTTCAAATATAAATATATATATATATATATACTTGTTTATATATAAATATACTTGTTTCTTCAATTTATTTCTTTCTCCAAATTATATTTAAAAATCTTTTGTATCGCTTACGTTATGAAATGTAAAATATTTCAAAAAATTTTTTAACTAACGTTATTATTAGGAATATTCCAAATGTCTTCGCGGACATTCGGCATTATCGTCAATTCGGCTAGTAATCGTTCCAGGACGATAGTATAACTTGTATTCTGTTTGAAGTACTTGGAAGGCAATAAACGAATCTCCTCTTTGATCCCCTCGCCGATACTCTTTACAATTGACCTTGATTGCAGCTGCAAATCTTTTTCATCGGATCGTGAGGGCGTGGAAGGATCTTGCCTAGCTTTCGGTTCCGGTAAATTTTTGGCGTACATTTTGTGCGAGGAAGAACTCTCAACAATCATTCGGATGAAGTAGATGTTTACGCTGAGGACTAAGATCAAAAGGATGCTCAAGGCAAAAAGAGCGCAACGTCGGCCAATCATCTGCAATTTTTATGAACTTTTAATTTCGCGATTATAATTCCTTAATAGTAAAATTATATTAATTGTTACTCTTTAATAAATCATAAAGAAATTATATATATCTCAATAACTTAATTTTCTTAACTCTCTTTTTAAAACATTAGTTGATTTAATTATAATTTAAAATTGTATTTAAATATACATCTCTTTTTATTATTTACAAATTTATATTGTAGAATATACAAGATAATTTCCTAAAATTAATAAAACTGTGAAGATAAGTTTCTTCAATATATTTTTACACAGAAAATATCAAAGAGGCGAGAAACAAAATTTCCCGCGTCACTGGCGACCCTATTACGTAATTCCTGTTTGTGACGTTATGGCGACTTTGTAACATCCGTGAGATTGTTGCACCAACATCGATATAGTTATCATTAATTGCAATTAACCGAATTTCCCCGTTTTCCAATTGGATCACAATTATATAGATACACAAGAATTTTAACAATAAACTCGATGTAACTCTCATAATTTAAAAGTCACTACAAATCTCATATATTCGAACATTCGAATGATCAATATCGGCGTGTGATAACAAGTGTCAGCTCAATAATGATCAATAATATTTATTTCGAAGATTCACCTTGAAGCAATTGGCCATGCGTTCGCTGTCACCTGGTAACTCGCGTCTGTCTCATTGTTCGCCAATATCGTCGAATGTCGCCGACGTTTCATTCGCGTTCAGACATCGTCGCCATTTTTACTCACCACTCCGACAACCGACTCCACTTAAGACGCGCCGAAGCGGTGTTCATGCGTCCTAACTATTGTCCTAACGTCCGTTGTCTCATTCTTGTCACGCAGCTATGACGAGTGAAACTCTTGGACATTATATGTAAAAACGCTTTTGCAATTTTAAATTTGGCTCGTTTTTACAGAAAAGAAACTATGCATTAAATGTAATTATTTCCTATTAAGTTGCTTTTAAACATTTCAATGTTTATGAATTATTTGGAATCTTATTGTATTGATCTCCTTCATAAAACTTATCCAAAAGAAAAACGATGAGTTTTTCAACATAATCATCTAAAAATATTCTACAATATTATATGATTGAAATTGACATGAAATCATTACTGTTTAATATGCGCAATTTGATACGTTATTTATATATATATATATATATCTCCATCCGTTTTTATTCAGCACGAAGAAAAGCACAAGAAAAGACAAATTCCCTCTCCGAGACAAATTCCCCTTTTGCTTGAACAAATCTTGAAGTGACAAAAATATGATATAAAAATATTGCGGGATACACAGTGAAAAGCAGCAGTGATAGTGACGAATTTATTTTATAAAAACATGTAAACTATATGTGAATGTAGAGTTAAACTTAGACTTATATTTCGTCTGGAAAACACATTCCCTTGTAAACGCACATAAGTAGTGCAGACGTTGATGATAGAGATCGTGATTGTGGTGATGGTGGTGGTAGAGGTGGTGGTGATGGTGATGACTTGGCTCGGTAGCTACTGTCACTTTTTCTTCTTAATGTTCGTTACATAGTTCGTAGAAAGAATTAAATATGTACACAATGTGTAATCGTTTTCGTTTCTCATTCTCTTTCAATTCGTTGCCTTTCGCGTTCGCGTGCCAATTCTGTAGCATAATCATACGGTGAGCCTCTCCTAAAATCAAAATTATTTTTTAAAATATACATGAAAAATAGTAAATACAAGCAATTTGAGATAAATTGTGTGTTCCACATAAAACATACATAAAACACACTTGACATAAATTCTTATAAAATTCTACAACGCAAATATGAAATTTTATATATATATATATATATATATATAGTGACTATAACGATAATGTGTATCCATTAAACTTTTAAAAAATTTCTATTCTTGCTTCGACCCTTACCTATCCCGATGTCGATCTCTGTCGCGATGGCGATCCCTGCTTCGATCTGTATATGATCTGTCTCTGCTACGGCTTCTATAATCCCTCTGTCTTCTATTTTTGTCACGACTGTTCGATCTTTTGTTATACCTATCTCTTTCACGATCCCGTTCGCGAGCTCTTTCTCTATCACGCTCCCGCAATCTCTCGCGATCGCGATCGCGCTCTCTATTCTTGTCCTTACGATCCTCATCGGTTCTGTAAAGAGACAGATACGAACGGAAGTATGACATTGGTTGTCCCGATTGGTTGATGGCAAAACTCGATCTAAGCTCGATCGAAAAAAAGTTATTAATATTTTATCTTCTTGTTACACCGACAACTGTACATTAAAGAGAATAATTTTCTAGATAAGTCTATCGTCATGTTTCAAGACAAAACACGAAAACATCAACTTTTTATCAGATTTAGTTTCTACGCCTCAAAAAACATAAAATATTTAAATTTCAAAAATTATCTTTGAAATGTGTGTGACCTCTACATATGTATTTATTCAAGTATTAATAACGTGATCGTTGTATTCATACCACGTGGACGCACCTGGCACGCCACTGGCTCATACGCTCGGCCTCGCCCCACTGAGTCTCGTTATCGGGGATATGACGAGGTTGCTGATTACGTGATGTCAAGTTACCGTTGTCCTTACGACCATCCTTGTTGCCATACTTGCCATGGCTATTGAGAGTGATTGGCGGCTTAGCGTTTCGTGCATTCACCTGCTGTTGCGGAAAACGCTCGGCCAACCGCAACTCCAAATCTTTTTGGATTGGTACTGGTATCCGTGGAAACAATGTAGAGAACCACTCGAGTTTGGTAAGGAATTGTTTGAGAATGTCGCCCATTTTCATGACTTGCCCGCCACCCGCCTTCACGTCTAGCTCCTCTTCATCCTCCAGGTAATCGTTGTACCAGCTGAACAAGTCTGCCGGTGGCTGTGTATATCTAATTGTAACCGTACTGTGTATATATAATCATAATCATAACCGGTTTATAGCTTGACTTGAACGGTTAGACGTCGCAAGTCTAGCCTATAGGGTCTGGAAGGATATTCAAGTAACTACTCGCAGCAACTTTGTATACTCATGTTAAACCAAGCAAATTTACCGCTTTAACCGCCTGTATACAGGGTGTTTCCAAATTAAATGGCAAAACTTCGGGAGCGTGTAGAGGAGTAAAAAACTAAGAAAAAAAGTCCTATAGACATATGCTCCTTTTTGCTTTGTTTCGCAGGAAATCACGAAAAAAGAAAAAAATATATTTAATTTATTATTTTAATTATTTTATTTATAAACTTTTTAATGAAGATTTTGTTCGAAATGTGCACCTCTTGCAGCAATACAAGCATTGCATCTGTCAAACACGGCTCTTGTAGCAGCCAGGCACTGTTCTTGCGATATTCTGTTCGCTGCAGCTACGATACGATTTCTCAAATGTTGCTCTGATTGAATAGGCGAAGAATAAACTTCTTGCTTCAGAGTACCCCATGCATAGAAATCTAATGGCGTTAAGTCGGGCGAACGAGTTGCCCAATGTACTGCTCCTCCACGTCCAATCCATCGTTGTGGGAATTTTCTATCTAACCAGGTTCTAGCGACTCTGCTGTAATGAGCAGGGCATCCATCTAATTGAAACCACATTTCAGTACGTTGTTGTAATGGGATGTTTTCTAAATAGTCAGAAAATTCATTCTCCAAGAAATTTAGAAAACGGTCCCCATTTAATCTTGCAGGTAAAAAAAACGGTCCCACTAAAACGTCGTTCCAAATTCCAAGCCAGACATTAACAGAAAACTCTTGCTGAAATTTGTATTCTCTAACAGACCTGGGATTTTGATGAGCCCATATATCATAATTCCTTTGATTAATTATTCCACCTCTGGTAAATGTTGCCTCATCTGACCACATTATTTTAGATGGAAATAAAATATCATTGTGGCATGTCTGAAGGTACCAGTTACAAAAGTTCAATCTGTTCCAATGATCTTGAGGTAATAAATTTTGCACTTTTTGAATGTGGTAGGGATAGCGATTATCTCCTTTTACAGTTCGCCAAATTGTTTGTGGTGACACTCCCAATACAGCCGACGCATTCCGAACGCTGGTCTCAGGATGATTGTCAAAATGTTGTAAAATACGATTCCCTGCCTGCAAATCTCTTCGTAACGCTGCTTGAAATCGGTTGTTTTCTTGTCGAATTGAAAATGTTCCAGTCTCTCGCAATCTATTAAATGTCAACATAAACACTCTTCGGTTTGGCACTCTTCTGTTTGGAAATCGTCGTGCATATTCTCGCACCGCCTTTAAAGCATTACCGTTGCAGAAACCGTATACAAAAACCATATCAGCATATTCACTATTAGAATACGTACGCGGCATATTGCAAAAGACAAAATTCATCTACTGTTAAAGGCTTTCAAAGAGCGACTGACAAATTCATAACAGAAAGTGGAAAATGTAATCAAATATGTCGGTGCTAGATATGGCAAGAAATGTAAACATTTTTTTTCGATTTCTCTGAAACGGAGCAAAAACGAGCATATGTCTATAGGACTTTTTTTCTTAGTTTTTTACTCCTCTACACGCTCCCGAAGTTTTGCCATTTAATTTGGAAACACCCACATATATATAAATATATATATATACACACATACACAACTATTAACCTTTATCACAGGTAACCACAAATTAAAAAATTAATTGATCGATATTACAATTGATATTTTATGTTATCTTTAAGTTTTCAATTATATGTTACAGCAGAGAATTATAGCTATGCCAAAACTGAAATATAAAAAAGGACAAAATGAACGAGCAAGCACAAATATAATAAATGCACTTTTAATAAGTTTTTAATCTAATATACCCTCTTTACTAAAAATTATATATATATATATCCTAAAAAAATGATGGAATTATTATATACATTTAATATGTCTAATTACACACTGATACCACAAAATGTATTAGAAAAAACTCACCTAATGTACATAAATCCTAGGGCGCGTATGTAGGGTGAGTCCGGATGATTAATAAGCCCATTCAGCTGCTTTCTAGTTAGCCTCAGCGTGAAGAGTTTGTATAATAGACAATATGCCGTTGAAACAATTCCGCCAGCTCCCACGCCTCGTACCTGCATGAACCGCTAAATTTACACCCCCCCTCAGTCAGTTAAGTCACATTCGTGTTACCGTACAATATTTGAACCGAATACATGCTACTCTGTAATTAAATGGTGCGGTTAACACTTTGTTTCTAGCGATAGTAATAGTACCAAGGCGTTTAAATTGTTCAAGCATTGGCAATACTACCATCATACATGTAAAAACTTTGTGACTTTTTATGAAAACGTTTACTGCATTCATTGAACCTTTTTGTTGTTCAATAGCTCAATTTACAGCTCATTTTAAAAGAAAATGATTCCTTTTTACTATACTGTGCTTTTATTCCATCTTGTAACAAACATTGAGAACCCCATCTCTACTTCATATCACTACTCCATCACATAATTTTAACTTGCAATTGTTTTAATTACTGCAACAATGATTATTAATAATTTTTTTTCTAAACATGCAGATCAAGTGTAGCTAAACATTTAAATAACATTGAAATAATTGTATTGAATGAAAGAGAAAGAGAATGAAAAGAGGTGGGTTCTAACAGTTTAACATTAAATGTTAAACAAGGACAGATGATGAATTCGTGGCATCAGAAGCATCCAAGCGACGTTTCCAAATGCAGCCAGTATTTAAATTTCAAAAACTATCCTAGTAATAACTGATGTATTATAATGAGATAAATATATATATGTATATATATACTATATATATATATACTACATTCAAATCACCTTACTACTCTCATTTGACAATTTACCCATAGGACGCTGGCTAGAGCAATATAATCAGTTTTCTGTACAAGCGAATGTATTTGTGCAACAGTTTCATAAGCCTTAGACTTTCAACAAATACATTAATAATTAAAAAACAAAGATAAAGATAAAAAGAAAAAATCCGATGTTGAGAAAACATACTCACGCCTCCACACATGCCAGTTTGGCCTGCAGTCTTTCTGCTGCCTTTTTCCCATGGTTCTAAGTGAGAGACCTTATAATAGATCTCGTCAATCACCTCATGATAGGTCTTGAGTTCATACAGATTCACCTTAAAATAATGCGACGACTGTATGTTGGTGAGAATCAAAGGATTCAAATTCATAGTCCTCTCGTTGCCCCATAGTGGCAACACATTTGACTTTTTACCCTCCTTTGGAGCCAGCCTACGCTCCTCATCGCAGCCACTTGAATTATTCCATGGAGATCCTAAGAGAAGAAAGACTCAGCATATTTCAGTGTAATACAATAATCAATATTCATATTGACAGAATATTAAAAGGTTGTATGTACGTACAGACAAATCAATAACTACAAATGCCAAAAGATTATAAAAAAAGATGGTTCTACAGGACAGAAAATTTTAGAAAACTAATAATATTTTTTGCATTTTTAATTTCGTTCTATCTTTTCGAGTAGATCAAAAGAATTCGCAAACGAAAGTAAATCAAACATTAGGTCTGTTCGCGTTGCTTGCACTTTTTGCACTCACTTAGCAACCTTTCTTTTTTCAACACCCGAATATATTTATCTTGTTCTAAGTGCCAAAAATTTTGGAGATTTCGAGCAACGCGAACAAATCTATTGTCGACAAATAATTAAAGTTTGGGATTAATCTCGGAATAATATGGTACTTAAAGAACAGGAATCAAACTGACAAACGAGTCAAGGTTATGTTATCCGAAGGAATACGAAAACAGTCGTCTTACAAACGACAAATAACTTGAGAAATCAAAACAGAATGTCTTTTATAGTTCAGAAAGCGTATTTACTCACCATCCGCACCTTCAGCCTCCTGCATTTGCATCTTTGAACGATTTATCGAGGAGACTCGCGTGGAGTCTCCACATCGGTCGCGTCAAGGACAAACAAACGAACCCGTTCAGCTGCAAATTAATTCGAATCGGATGAACTCATGCGGGAAATTTTCAATGCGATAATTTCTCAGAATATTGTAGAAACCCCAACGCTGTAACTCTCATCAGTCTTGTCCACGAAACGCGACGAAACGTACGAAAAAAAAAAGCGAGAGAAATTGTAGCACCCTACTACGTATGATGGACAAACATACACATCCGGTTTTGTATTGCGCACGCGCAATACTATCGTGGAATCGGAGAAAAATCTGAGAGAGGACATGACAGCCTTTTTCCTTCCCCGCGCACTACTGCCCTCTGAAGAGGTGAATGTAAACTACATACAATATCCATTTTTTGAATGTTATGCGGGGTCACAATAGAAGTCGTAGGGTCTTAAGTCGTAGAAAATTGACCAATCACAGTTGATTATTCTTCTCATATTCGACAGTGATTGGTCAATTTTCTACGACTTAAGACCTTACGACTTCTATTGTAGACCCCGCATTAAGCTGGTTCTACATTATGCGGGGTCTACAATAGAAGTAGTGATCGTAAAGTCTTAAGTCATAGAAAATTGACCAATCACAGTCGAATATGAGAAGAATAATCAACTGTGATTGGTAAATTTTCTATGACTTAAGACCCTACGACCGCTACGACTTCTATTGGCTGCATTCAGCGGACTCAACAGTTGAGTGAGCGTTCGCTGCTATTGACGTATTCTTCTAGATCTAAAATTATGATTGGATGATCTAAAAGAATACACCAATAACA